GACTCCCGCTGCCTCACCAAGACACACCCGGCGTACGACACCTACTCACCGGTCAGCACCTGGGAAGACATCGACAGCCGACCGCGCGTCATGACATATACTCGCCGGGGTGCAAGACTCTTAGCGGACCAGCAACGCCCCGCGCTCTCCCGAGACATTCTCTGGCTCGTGGTCAATGGCGTCACTCTGGTAAACGTATATCGGGAACCGAACGTGGACACCGCCCTCGATGTCCTGTTCGCATGGCCGATTCCCAGCCAATGTATCATCGCAGGCGACTTCAACGCGAGGCATCACGCGTGGCAGATTGGCCCCTCCCGCGGCCACGGCGGCATCATCGCAGAATGGGCCGCAGAAAACGATTTAGATCTCCTCAATCCGATTAACACACCCACGAACGCCCACGGCAATACCATAGACCTGGCCTTCTCGAATATTCTCCTAGCCGAGGCGACGGTGGAGGACCACCTTGCCACGAGCTCGGACCACTTCACTCTCAGCATCTCTCTCCCGGCTCTCAAGCCGGCAACGCTCCCGCCTGGAAAGATTCTTCTCGCGAGCGACGAGGAGGTGAAGCGGTTCACGGAGCTGGTTGTATCAGGGGCCACGATTATTCCCCAGGCAGCAACGACGGTTGTAGATCTTGATCGGCTCGCGGATGCAATTATAGACCTGATACAATCCGCAGCTCGTGCGGCTGGCCGGCGATCTCAACGTAGACCGCGGAAGGCTCCGTGGTGGAACGAGGAATGCGCAGCGTCTGTCGCGGAGCTCCGCTGCGTCAGACGGGCATTCCCACTCGGCTTCAATCGTGACGTACAGCTCGCTCGTCGCGACCTGCGGCGTGTGGTGCGACGCGCGAAGCGGGCATACTGGCGCGAACTGATTGATGGCGTGCGAAGCGACAAGGATGTTTTTAAGATCACGCGATGGCTGAAGCGTCCTGGGGTGTTCCGCCCTCCACCTCTACAGGTCGGCGAGACAATCATTGAGACTCAGATCGGCAAGGCCGAGGCCCTACGCCACGCTACTCTCGAGCGCAGAACTGCAGACGACGACATCTCCGACCCCTGGACGCCGTCAGAAGACACCATACCCATTCCCTTCTCGCCCAAGGTCCCCATTGAGGAAGTCCAGGACGCTCTGCTGCGTACAGGCAACACGTCGCCAGGATCGGACAACATCACGGTACGTCTGCTCCGAACGGCATGGCCCGCTCTACGCTGCCACATCCAACGCCTGTGTCAGGGTTGCCTGTCCCTTGGCTATCACCCTCTGAGGTTCAAGGAGGCCGAAGTGGTCATGATCGAAAAGCCAGGCAAGCGTGATCTTTCCAAGACACGTGCCTGGAGGCCAATATCACTGCTCTCATGTCTTGGCAAAGGATTTGAGAGGCTTATCGCTCGTCGCTTGGCTTGGGCCTCGATACGATACGGTATCCTGCATCCACAGCAGATTGGCGCCCTTCCAAAGAGGTCCGCGGTCGACCTAGTCGCCGCCCTTGTGCACGATATCGAAACAGCTCTGGCCAATGGCCAAGTTGCTACGCTAGTCACAATGGATGTACAAGGGGCTTTTGACACCGTCATGCGTAATCGACTTATCCTCCGACTCCGGCAACAAGGGTGGCCATCGCATCTCGTCAGATGGGCCGGCTCCTTCATGCAAAACCGCTCGGCCGCAATCCGATTCCAGGACGTCACAACGCCAGCGTCGCCTCTTCGATGCGGCCTCGCACAAGGCTCACCTGTATCGCCAATCCTCTTCGCTCTGTACATCGCCCCTATCTACCGCCTCGGGAACTCGGATGGTCGATTCGGCTACGCAGATGACACGGCAATGCTGCGCACCGGGCGAACGCTCGAAGAAACGACAGCTCTCGCGTCCCGAGATATGGAAGAACTTCTGGTTTGGGGTGCCGCCAACGGCGTCACTTTCGACCCGGACAAAACCGAGGTGATGCACTTCTCTCGGAAGAAGAGCCCCTCCCGGCCCTCCGTATTCCAAGGCGGCACCGAGATTGTCCCTGGAAACGCAATGCGCTGGCTCGGGCTCTGGCTCGACCGTAGGCTCTCCTTCAAATTCCACGTGGACGAGTGGTCCGCCAAAGCCAGGCGAGTAGCCAACCTCCTCAAAGGCATCGCAAACACCAAGCACGGCCCTCTTCCGCGCGCCGTCCGCAGAGCAGTCAAGGCATGCGTCGAGCCGACCTTATTCTACGGCGCAGAGGCGTGGTATCCCGGAGAGGTGGCGCCTAGCGTTGCAAACCCGAATCGGATCGTGTCCACGCAGGTAAAGCACCTCGTGCTACGTCTGGACAAAGTCCTGAGACACGCCGTTCGAGCTGCCCTTCCTGTCTGGAAGACGACCCCGATCCCAGCCATGCACCGCGAAGCTGGCACGCCGCCTGCGTCTATCGCACTCGCCGCTCAGCAGATCCGTTTCTCGGCACGCCTGAAGTCTCTCGACGGGCGTCATCCCCTTGTTAAAAGGGCATCGTGGAAACCGCCTCGAGCGCGGCACACTCGGAACCCCAGCTCGACCCGACGTGTCAAGCCAGCCTTTCAGTCGAGGCTTCAACGCACCGACCAACTCCTCCCGAAGTGCCATCGCCCGACGCTCCTGCCGCGCCAGTACTCCGATACAGAAACCAGCCCTCTTCAGGCTGCAAACAAAACCGAAACCGCTGGTGATTTCCTTGATTGGCTTGAAACCGCCGCCGCAGCCACGCTCATCGTCTACTCCGACGGGTCGCAACTTCCAAACGGCGCCGTGGGATTCGGCTTCGCAGTACACCGGGATAAGCAATCTCTAGTCCAAGGATCGGGCCGCTTGGGTCCATCCGAAGTCTTCGACGCTGAGGCAACCGGCGCCCTAGAGGGCCTCCGGGCCGCCCTTCGCCTGGGCGACACAACAAGCAACGTCGTGGTCTGTACCGACAATCTTGCCGTAGCCAGCTGTCTGCGAGGCAATCCAGCCGACTCGTCGCAGGACAAGTTCACTAGGTTCCAAGAACTGGCGAGCTCGCACGGAAACGTGCACGTCCGCTGGATACCAGGACACACCAACATACCGGGCAATGAGGAGGCTGACGGCCTTGCCAAGGCAGGCTGTTTGCAGCCCGAACCGCCAGGAGCCATGCCATCGCTGGCCCACCTGCGCCGACTTGCGAGGCAGCAATCGAGAGACGCCTTCAAAGCTTGGTGGTCGACCGAAGCTCCAGAGTCATACAAGCCTCTGAACCTCGAGGCGACCACAAGCTGCCCCCCGGAGCTGGCGCTCCCCAGAGCAACGCTCCACACTCTCCTAGCGGCGAGATCTCGCCACGGAGACTTCGCCGACTACCACGAGCGATTCAATCATGACGACGCGCGTCTTGACTGCTCATGCGGACGACGCAAAGCACCAGAGCACCCATTCTACTGCAGGAAGGTACCGCCACGGCTCCGGATGAGGCTGTCACCCTCACCGGCCGAAGCGGTACACCACGCAGTAGGCAAGGGCTTCAAAGCCTTCGTCGAAATGACGTCGGAAAGCTCCTTCTTCCAAAGGATCTGTCCGCGCCATTAGGCGAACAACACTCCCTTTCTCCCTTTTTGTTTTCTGTTTCGTGTTTCTCCAATTTCTGGTCACGGTCGAGTAAAGGGCGTCGCACCGCCCTTCACCCGGCCGAGGCCCTCCGCTCTGGCTGCGCACGCAGCCGGTCAGGAAAAGCCTTCCCAGGCCCATCAGAAAGATGGGTGACGACAGCGACGCAACGTCGCATGCAACTCTACATCCCGCGGACGGGTGCGAGGCTCCGACGAAAGAGCGCCTTGAGCCGATGAGATGCTAGATGGTGTTTGTTTTGAAATGACGATGCGTCGGTGCGAACTGCGGGGCGGCCGAAATGAGAGTCACTGGTCCTGGTGCCTGAGGCAGCCACAACTCAGTGACTGCTAACCTGGACCAACGGGCAGGAACTTGGCGAAGCACAGCGGTTTGGAGCTGATGCCAATTGTAGATAGACTCTCATCAGCCTAGCACGTCCTTTGCCCCGATAGGGGCTTTAGCCTAATAGCTTCCCGGACGTTAAATAATATCACATCACATCACA